GTTAAGAAAATAATAAAAAAAATGTTGCAGATTGTTGTATGAGGAAGTTTCTTTGATGTACAAATATAAAAATATTTTTAACTACTTCAATAAATATATTAATGTACCGATATATATAAAGGTATTTTTTTCCCAATTTTATGTTTACATATACAACGTATATCTTGTAGCAGTAATTATATATGAAACTAATATTTTTCCGTGTAATATTATATTTACCAATATTTAAAAAGTAATCACTTATGTATTGAGTTTAGAAGAATACAATATAATAAATAATAATCATTGTAATAAAAAGAATGGGTTTCATAGTGAAATAAGTATATAATAATAAGTATATAGAGTGTTGCACAATATCCGCAAGTCAATTTGTATACTGGTAGAACTCGTCAGTTCAAACAAAATAGTCTTATATTTTTTGCACACAATCATATTAAATTTTGAGATTTTAATTATTAAAAATAATATTTGCAGGATTTTTTTAATAACTGACTCGACAATTTACATGTTGTTTGCAAAATAGTAAATGAATATTGAAAATTTGAGAATAATTCAAGTATATTATGTCCTAATAGCAGATTCAAAGCTTAAGATTTAAAGTTTAATATCAATGTAGTTATTGGTAGGTACGAAAATCATATTTTTGAAAATTAAGATAAGATTATTTTGAAAAAATATCATTTATCATTTTTCAAACAACATGTAAATTGTCGAGTCAATAATTAAAAAATCCTATAAATATTGCCACTTTCAATAATTACAATCTCAAAATTTAATGTGGTTGTGTGTAAAAAGTCGAAGACCATTTTGTTCGGACTGATGAGTTCTACTAATATGCGAACTGACATGCGGATGCTATGCAACACTTTGTATACATTTTCCTTTAAGAAACATATTGTTTTAACAGTGATTAGTTATTGCATTGTATTTTCTTAAATTGAACAGACATGGTTATTTGTTAGAAATTAACAAATATAATATTACATAGAAAAAATATTTGTACTTGCTGTTAGATCCGCTCTTTTGTGTTGCAATAAAATTTTCTTTCTTCAAGCAAATAATTATTTAATTTCTATAGGAATGTATATATATTTAAACTTGCATTTACCTATAAATAAATAGCAATTACTTGTTTCAAAGGAATATTTTTTTAACTATGCAAGTTATTTTATATTTAAGGGGCCAATGTTCTTTATGGAAATAAATGTAATTTCCCAAATAATGTTATATTACTTCTTCTTAAAACATATTTACTTATAATCCTCATCATATTATTTAACGTTATGCCAATGCAAACTAGAACTAAGAAATCAATTTGTTATTTCAAAAGATAATTTTGTCTATTAAAGTAAATATTATATTTCTTCAAGTAATATAATAGTACGTATTTTTTTCTTTTAAGTTCATGTTTTCTTCTCTTTAAGGAATATTTGTTTGCAAGTACAATATCGCTTCCGCTATGAAGAATATATTTCTTTCAGTAAAGTACATTTTCCTTTCACTACAAATAAATATGTTTTTCACTTACTTAACTCGTAACTGCTGTGAAGCCATTTTAAGTACGCGCACACTGTTCACCGGTCAAATTGACCGGTAGGAAACGGAATTGATGAATATATTGACAAATAACACGACCACACAACTGAGCGTATGTCAGTCGACTAACATTCAGAATGTAAGAAAATACACTGACGGATGAATACGCAACTAGAAAATTAACCGCGTTATTTAAATTTCAAATAGTGCAATGGTCAAATTGACCGGAGAACAGCAGTTACGGGTTAAATAAATATTTTACTTAAATGATTTCAACACTCAAATGTAAGTAAACACGCTATTAGGACCCACTGAATAAATAATGTTCTTGAATCCAGTAAAATTTTTTTGTTTCAAAGCATTTTTTCCCTCAGTGTAGTCGACATACATGTCTGAAGTTGTATTTTTTTTACAGCTTGGACATCTGTTAACAATAACCAGTCGTAATACCAACATCGCAACGCAAAAATATTTTTTCTAACAACGAGGATGTCGAGTTTTGTGCCAAATAAACAGCATTTGCGGGAAGCTTTGCTTTTCTGCTTTAACTTGAAAAAAAGTGCAGCTGAAGCACGTCGTTTGCTTGAGAAGGTCTACGGTGAACATACACCATCGAAAATTATCTGTGAAGATTGGTTTAAACGCTTCAGAAGTGGCGATTTTGATACTGAGGACAAGGAGCGCTCCGGAAGACCAAAAACAATTGAGGACGTCGATTTGCAAGCGTTATTGGATGAAGATGATAGGCAAACACAAGATCAACTTGCGGAGGCATTAAACATGACTCGCCAAGGTATTTTCAAACGTTTACATGCCATGGGAAAAATTCAAAAGGAAGGAAAATGAGTGCCACATGAGTTGACTGAGAGACAGATGGAAAATCGAAGAGCCACTTCCGAAATTTTGCTTTTGCGGCATGAAAGAAAGAGTTTCCTGCATCGAATTGTTACTGGCGATGAGGAGTGAATATATTTTGAGAATCCCAAACGCAAAAAATCGTGGCTTTCACCTGGCGAAGCATCAACATCGACGGCACGGTTAAATCGCTTCGGAAAGAAGACAATGCTCTGCGTTTGGTAGGACCAGAAAGAAATCGTATACTATGAGCTGCTGAAAAGAAGCCGGGCGAAATTGTCAATAGACATCGCTACCGACAACAACTGATCAATTTGAATCATGCATTGCTCGAGAAATGTCCAGAATAGGACACGAGACACGAACGAGTGATATTGCAGCACGGCACGCTCCGTGTCATCGCACTTCCATCATCCAGGACACCATCAAAACGCTGAAATGGGATCTGCTACTGCACCCCCCGTATTTGCCAGACCCGGCACCTTCCGATTATTACTTGTTCCGGTGGATGGTGCATGGCTTGGCTGGACAACACTTGGCCAATTTCGAAGAAGTGCAAAATTGGTTGGATGAATGGTTTCGGTCCAAAGACGCGTCGTTTCATCGTCGCGGTATTCATGTATTGCCAGAGAGATGGCAAAAATGTGTAACTAGCGAAGGACGATACTTTGAATAAACCATTTTTTGTATTTCTCTTGAAATTTTCCATTTTTCATTGATCAAAAAACCCGGAAACTTAGTTACGCACCTAGTATTTAGCGATGGAATCCACCAATTGCTCCGAAAGTAAATCAAAGTTAGAACTATGGACAATTATATATGGCAATTATTTTCATTAATACAGTAATATATAGCAATTATTTTGGTGAATAGAGTCGTAATATTTGATGGGAAAATGAAGTTTGAATTTTATAAAAAAAAGCCTCCGCATTAATTTACGCACCCAATATATATAATTTATTCTATGTTTGTCGCTGAGAATGGCGGAGGAAAAAAGAACAAGTACCCTTCATCAATAAAATAATTAGATATTTAATAACAAACTGAGTTAGTATCAAAAGAATTATTATTATATTTACACCAAGGATGTTTTAAAAGAAAAGATAACATTATATTTTTGGTACAATATCAGTAAATAAATATAAAATATAGATAAATCAGACAATATAAATAATGTAGATAAATGTATAATATATATAATACACAGAAACGGCACGAATTACAGTATAATACATAAATACTGTTCACAATCGTGTACGTATATTATATTATATTATATAATAATTATTATAAATATTTGAAATGTAATAATATATATACAATACATATACACATACATATACATGCATATATATATATATATATATATATACAGGGTGTTTGATAGCTCATCATGCAGACGAAAGTTGGAGATAGATTGGGTGTAGCCGAGAAGAAAAGTCATGTACCATAATGTCAAATTGGCAATAGTTATCGAATTATTAATTAAAACATGTGAGCCAACGAGCGCGTAGAAAGCGGAGGGCGACCGCAGTAAGCACATAGACATTTGATACAGGCGGAGTCAGCGAGTGTCGATAGGCGAGCGCGCGCGGCGAGGGGCAACGTAAACAACAAGAAGCGAAGGCGCGCGACGAGGAGCGAGCGAGCACAAGCGACAAGAGGCGAGCGAGCGCGACGAAGAGCGAGCGAGCGCGAACGACGAGGAGCGAGCGAGCTATAAGGAAAAACCTATAAAGAAAAAGCTCGCTCGCTTCTCGTCGCGCGCGATCACCTTTCGTCGCTTACGTTGCCCCTCGCCGCGCGCGCTTGCCTATCGACACTCGCTGACTCCGCCTGTATCAAATGTCTACGTGCTTATTGCGGCCGCCCTCCGCTCTCTACGCGCTCGTTGGCTCACATGTTTTAATTAATAACTCGATAACTATTGCCAATTTGACATTATGGTACATGACTTTTCTTCTCGACTACACCCAATCTATCTCCAACTTTCTGCATGATCAGCTATCAAACACCCTGTATATGTGTGTGTGTTTATTTATATACATATATTTGTGTTTATCGCGTGCATGTTTACGTAGTCATTTACAAATGAAACGTAACGGTTAAATTCTAGCCATATTACATAGTATATTACATAGATACTTATATAACTATATGTGCATTATTATACAGGGTGTCTCAGAATTTCACGACATGGACTCCGTAGGGACATAGAGCTAAGTGAGGAACAAAAAAGTCCTGTACCTGTAATGTGAAAATCGTAATAGTTTTTTAGTAATAACAGCGCAAAGTTACACGTTTTCCACGCCCAATGTGGCCTCCCTAGACGCTCCGCGGCAAGCTGTGTGCGTACGGGCTGAACGATGCCGCGTCTCGCGCTGACTGTCGCGATGGCAACTTGACACTTCGACGCCGCGCGACGGTCAGCGCGAGCCGCGTTACCGCTCAGCCCCCATGCATACAGCTTGCCGCGGAGCGGTCTATAGGCCGCGATAGGCGTGGAAAACACCAAACTTTACGCGGTTATTACTAAAAATCTATTACGATTTTCACATTATGGTAGAGGACTTTTTGTTCCTCTCACTTAGCTCTATGTCCCTACGGAGCCCGTGTCCCAAAGTTCTGAGACATCCTGTATATTATTATCATATAATGTACAATGTATGTGTACAAATACATGTAAATAAAAGACATGAACAATAGAAACATGGAAATGTAAGAATAATGTGATAAAATATCATAAAAATACATCTATATAAAACAAACATCATAATTTTAGACACAGACATCTCAATCAACTGCCCAATTTGCAATAACGCTCAGTTTGGCCACTTTAATTATTTGAATTCCATCATATTTTGTAAACTCGTTCATTTAGAAATTATATGTCCTGCTTTTCTTATTCATGACGAGTAAATTATTTTTTGCATTGTTTGAATTCTTTTCCGTTGAACGCTTACTATTCGATATATGTCGTCCAGATTTATTTTGTGTGAATTGGATTTATTTGCAAATTCTACAATCTGGAACAGGACATTTTGACAACTTCGTAAGAGTTCGTAAGAATTCATTTTTATCTATAATTTCTCAATTTCATATTTATCCATAATTTCTAACTTTAACGAAAAATAAATTATCATATATATTGGGTGTTTAAGAATGAAATTTGAATTAATTAAAAATATTAAACGCGAAGCAAAGTAAACAGAAAAAATACATACCACACGGATATCTTCATTTAAATATACATTCATTATCATGTTACCTAACACTTTTGCGTTTTGAACAAAAGTGTCTTGCCACCTAGAAAGTAGAAATAAAAAATTATTAACAGAAACGTTAACTTTTTCGCGATCAGTCATTGCAAGTACTTATAAGAGAAACGATCACCAGATTATTCTCGAATAATGCTGTATGAAGTATTTCAGCACATCATTTTTCCTTATGTGTTTCTTTATAACAATTCGATAAAGTTCATTTAAATTCTTATGCGATAGTACATTTCCAAGTTCGAGAAACACTTCCTCCATATACTTTATAATAATTTGTGCATTATCCGAGCAAAACAAGTATTTCAAAATATCTATATCCGCTGTGTTTTTGTATTTTTCAAAGAACATCTGCGATATAGCTTCGTTGGCCAAACTCATACCGGCACAATATACCCAATCTTTCCACCATGGTGAAAATCTATGTTTGCGAAAAATATCAACCATTAGCGAAGTTTAAGTTTGTATCATGTGACCGATCAAACATATGGCGGAACAAGTAATAAAGAGATATGTTTAAAAAGAGATATGTTTAAAATTTGTATAGAATATAAAGATTTACTTGTTTTTATCAGGATCTAATAAATAGCCAGACAATTTTGTCGTAGCAGTTATTTGACACTTTCTATGCCCTAATTTGCAAGCCCATCTTGTTCCTAATAATCTCAGTGTTTTATACATATTGTTCTCATAATTTTTTTCTTCGTATTCCAAATTTTGAAGTAAGCCATCCAGTATTTGACGCACTTCTTCCTAGGTTAAAGAATATTGATATCACATGAATATCGAAATGGCAACAGTTTGAAATAAGAGCATTATAATTTAATTTTAGTACTTCGCGTTGTTTATCGGGAACAGATATTTATATACATATATAACTACGTGATACATGCGTGACATATATCTCAACTTATATGTACATTTTTATAATCAGGAACAGAGTATTTTCTATATATTGGTCTGAATAATTCATTTTAATATTATGAAACTTTTTTATGACATTTGCAGACTACGTGTCCCATAATTAACTAATGAACTGATGAAATTCGGTTTACCGTGCCTACCTTGATATGTTTCATTCCCGTAGCCGGATTATTCCAAATAGGCCACATAAACGATAGAATATTAAACAGGGATACCAGGCTATGTAACTTACATCGTGCTCTGACTTAACCACGTATCCATAATTTCATTAATTCCAACCATTTGATTCGTACTGTCAAGTCTACGTTGTAAGGTGATCCAAAGATTAGAAGGAGTGGCAGAACGAAACTTACTATAAAGAGAAAAGTTCAACGTTACGTATATGTGTGCGCGCACGTGTGTATGTTTTATGTCATTAATAATTTATAAATCTTACAATACAAACACATTTTTACTTAATCACGTGTTCAGTTGAACCATTTAACGTAAGTGCATAAATATACCGAAATTCTACGTAATAAATAATATGCCCCTCTTAAGCCCGATTAATTAATTAACACAAACCATATAGATTTGAAATAGTATAAATTCTGTCGTACATATAGTTATTTTTAGAAGCAATTATAGTGAAATGTTATATATAATGATGCTACAATGTGTTACTTACAATTTGTCAAAATATTCTGTGACAGCTAATTGAAATTTATTCCATGTGGTCATACGCTCTATCATGCGTAAAAGAGCAAAACTAAAACAGTACATTAAAACGAAACAATTTATTAATTTACATAGAGTAAGGACTAAGTTTCATAATTTGTATGGCATTTTCTTCCAAAGATAAATGAATATTTTTTTAAAATCTCCAGTTAAACACTAACCTTTATTATAATACCAACGAGAACAGAGGGAGACATCGATCTCATCCGCAATTCGTGCATTATATTCGGAAAGAGCTATCATCTGACAGTTAGTTTCATACTGAAATGTTGACTGAAGAATTTGGATTGCATAGAGATCTGTTAATTGTGAACCGATGAAAATCTAAAATAAATCATTCTGATATAAAATATACTAAACTTCTGATACTAAATATACGCTGGTGTACAAATTAACATAACGCAAATGTACTCCATATTCCAGCAACATAACGGTATATCAGTGTAGTAAAAAGAAATCATTATTTTCCAATAGATAGCTTAGTTATCTGTATTCGCGTTTATAATCGATGTTCCACTAATGCGTTAAAGATGAGATTTCGTACTAAAAAAACTTTTCTGACAGTTTTGTGATTAGTTGACTCAGATTTGTTTTGATCAAGATGCGACTGTCATCAAAAGATGACGCAAAACTAAAAGGGTAAACGAAACTTACTAAAAGAAAAAATTAACGTTACTATATGTGTGCCACGTATGTTTTTCATTAATAATTATAAATTACAAAAAACACATTTTTACTTAATCACGTGTTCAGTTGAACCATTTAACGTAAGTGCATAAATATACCGAAATTCTACGTAATAAATAATATGCCCCTCTTAAGCCCGATTAATTAATTAACACAAACCATATAGATTTGAAATAGTATAAATTCTGTCGTACATATAGTTATTTTTAGAAGCAATTATAGTGAAATGTTATATATAATGATGCTACAATGTGTTACTTACAATTTGTCAAAATATTCTGTGACAGCTAATTGAAATTTATTCCATGTGGTCATACGCTCTATCATGCGTAAAAGAGCAAAACCTAAAACAGTACATTAAAACGAAACAATTTTATTAATTTACATAGAGTAAGGACTAAGTTTCATAATTTGTATGGTATTTTCTTCCAAAGATAAATGAATATTTTTTTAAAATCTCCAGTTAAACACTAACCTTTATTATAATACCAACGAGAACAGAGGGAGACATCGATCTCATCTGCAATTCGTGCATTATATTCGGAAAGAGCTATCATCTGACAATTAGTTTCATACTGAAATGTTGACTGAAGAATTTGAATTGCATAGAGATCTGTTAATTGTGAACCGATGAAAATCTAAAATAAATCATTCTGATATAAAATATACTAAACTTCTGATACTAAAATATACGCTGTTGTACAAATTAACATAACGCAAATGTACTCCATATTCCAGCAAACATAAATATAACGGTTATATCAGGTGTAGTAAAAAGAAATCCATTATTTTTCCAATAGATAGCTTTAGTTATCTGTATCTCGCGTTGTATAAGTCCGATCGGGTTCCACTAGATGGCGTTAGAAAGATGAGATTTCGTACTAAAAAAACTTTTGTGACAGTTTTGTGATTAGTTGACTCAGTTTTGTTTGAGCGCGCGTCAAAGATGGACACTAGCAAAGAGAAAATACGCTATATTTTACAGTTTTTCTTCGATAAAGGCGGAAACGCAAGCCAGGCGGTTGAAAATGTGAATAGTGTTTATGGTCCTGATACTGTAACAGCCAATTACACGCAACTTTGGTTTCGTCGATTCCGTTCCGGTAATTTCGATGTCAAAGATGCACCACGCACTGGAAGGCCAATTGTCGAAAATATCGATAAAATTATGGACATTGTCGAGTCCGACCGTCATGTAAGCACTGTTTCGATTGCCCAAGAGCTAAAGATTGCACAAAAAACCGTTTGGAACCATTTGAATAAGGCTGGATACAAAAAGAAGCTCGATGTATGGGTGCCACACGAGTTAACGAAAAAAAACCTCATGGACCGAATTTCCATCCGCGAATCGCTGTTGTATCGCAACAAAATCGACCCATTTCTGAAGCGGTTGATCACTAGTGATGAAAAGTGGATCACTTACGACAACGTCAAGCGAAAACGGTCGTGGTCGAATCGCGGTGAGCCGGCGGAAACGGTGGCCAAGCCAGGATTGACGGCCAGGAAGGTTTTGCTGTGTGTTTGGTGGGATTGGCAGGGAATTATCTATATCTATGGAGGCAACAGTAAGCGACAAGAGGCGTGCGCGCGCGACGAGAAGCGAGCGAACGCGAACGACGAGCGAGCGAGCGCAAGCGACAAGAGACGGCCGCCCAGCGCTCTCTACGCGCTCATTGGCTCACATGTTTCAATTAATAACTCGATAATTATTGCCAATTTGACATTATGGCACATGACTTTTCTTCTCGGCTACACCCAATCTACCAGTACACAAAATATTAATGATCACATTCCGGACACCCTGTATACACATGTATGCCTAAAATAAATATAACATGTTACTAAAATACTACAGGACAGTTACTGTATATAACGAGACCGTAACTTATGTATAACAGTTATGTATAACAGTTATGTTATGAGGTTTCAAGCAAATGTTATATGGCTGAAATATAAAAATTACATAAAATGTGTGACGATAACCCTTATAACTGTCATGCTTACAAAATTAAATATTTGTCATTCTATTAATTCTTTCCACATTAGCAGTAGCGGTATTCCATATTCAATGAGGTTTGCAGATGATTGTAAAACGATTAGAAAAATTAAAAAATGTCTTCCACACCGATCATTTGCCTTTAAATCCAAAAATTTCTCGCCTTCTGGTAATGTTGATAGTTATATATATTAACCTGGTTCATGATATAATGACTGTAAAACTTCGATAGTGATTCGCCTATCCACAGGTCGGCCCATCGAGACTGAGTAACCACTGCTGTAAACGGCTGACGTGCCATTTGGTGTGAAATGACCTCACCGATATGAGCCTTGCGGCCAGGGAAATCGATATCTTTATCATATAGAACATCTTTTTCGCTGTAAATTGTGAATTAACATAATCAGGTGATGACATGTAGAAATGGCAGTATGCTTTTCTACAATTTAGCTCCTTCATAAATTACATAAACGTATGAAGTTAATTTAAAAGTTCTAATAACGAAACCCATTAAACACTGCATGATAATAATGTAACATCTATTTTATTGTTAGATATGTGAATTAGTTCGGTCCATCTGGCGGTCAATTGCTGTACTATGTAATTTTCTAATCTCTGTCTATTAAAGGCTTTATTTTTTAGTTTTGATATCTGACAATAATATTCAGTTGATAAACGTTTGGGTTTGTAACAACAACATCGTGTTTATCTGATTCGAAAATGTCGAAATTCGAGGCAAAAAAAGCATCATCTCCGAGAAGTTCTTATTTTCATTTGAAGAAAACAGTCGCTGAAGCTCATCGAATGCTCGTAGAAGCTTATGGTGAAAGTGTTCCCACCATGCAGAAAATCATGCAGAGAATGGTTTCGACGTTCCAAAAGTGATAATTTCAATGTCGATGACAAACCTCGTTCAGGTCAGCCGAAGAAGTTCGAGAACGAGGAATTGCAGGCGCTAATCGATGAAGATCAGTGTCAATCGCAATATGAGCTCGCGCAATTATTGAATATTGATCGGTCAACAATTTCTGTGCGTTTGGCAGCCATGAAAAAAATTAACAAAGAAGGAAGATGGGTGCCATACGAACTGAAAGAAAGAGTCATCGAGAGGCGAAAAGCCATGTCTGAAATCTTGCCTGCCAGACAAAAAAGAAAAGGTTTCTTGCATCGTATTGTGACTGGAGACGAGAAGTGGATATATTTCGATAATGCCAAACGAAGGAAATCCATTAGCGACCCAGGAAAACCATCCACATCGATACCAAAACGGAATATTCACGGCAAGAAAGTAATGCTCTGTATATGGTGGAACCAGAAGGGTGTAGTGTATCATGAACTATTAAAACAGAGCCAAACCATCACTGCCGAACTTTACCAACAACAACCGATCCGTTTAAACAACGCATTGAAGAATAAGCGGTCGGAATATGCAAAGAGACACGACAAACTGATCTTCCAGCACGATAACGCTCGGCCATGTTGGAAAGATTTTGAAGGCCACCTTGGAAGCACTGGGCTAGGACGTTTTACTTCCGTAATCACCAGACCCGCCCTATTCACCAGACATTGCTCCATCCGATTATCATTTGTTCAGATCGATGGTATACGGGCTTTCGGACCAGCATTTCAACAATTATGAAGAAATAGAGAAATGGCTCAATGAATGGATCGCTTCGAAAGACGAGTCGTTTTTCCGTCACGGAATGCAACAACTGCCAGACAGATGGGAAAAAATAATAGCAAGCGATGGCAAATACTTTGATCAATATGCTTTTTTATGTTTTTTCATACTAAAGTCTTTTTTGGAAGAAAAACGGACCGAATTAATTCATACACGTAATATATACCTATATATTATAAGACCAAAACTTCCCATTGAATTTATTGTATTATTGGGGAACACTATGTGATTCCTCTTAGGCAATACACCGATTAATCCCGTAAAGAATGTCAAGTAATAATCGGCAGCTACAATTATATTCGTTGCATATTGTAGCATCTTCTTTTGCGACATGTGCCAAATGGTGTCACTCTTAGATATTTCACTCTTTGTACGATTATCGTTGTCTTCAAGCAGAGCAATGAACACGTTGGAAGGAGATATCGGAGGCGTATCATTAAAATACGTCTCGTTAACGTTGGAGAGAAACTTTTTAGTGAATATTTCAGGTTCATTCGAGAAAACTTTAAAATTCTCAGGATATAGTACAGATATGTTGAAAATTGCCTTTAATCCGGGCTCATCCCAACATGGAAACACTCTCCGAGCCATGTTAGGTTGCGTGATAATTAACCTATCGTTAGAACATATTGTAAATATAAAATATTTAACCATTCTA